GTAGATACCATACCATAGGGTATGGTAATCTAAAACAGTTTTATACTATTTGCATACACATAACTACTTCTTTACACTCATTTTACATCTTTAATATATAATATATAATATTTTATATTACAATGATTTAATGGAAGTCAGTGTAGACCTACACTACAGCAACTGAGAGAAAAATTTGGTTGCATAGAATAAAAGGTCATTTTCCACAGCCACCCCTGAAAAACGTGTCAGTAAAGGCAAATATGAACAATGAGTTCTCCCTAACTGGCTAAAAATACTTGCTTTCACACTCTGCAATAGTAATCGATTTGGACATGTGGTTGTTGCTTTGAGATGATCTAGTAATTGATTTTAAAACAGATGGCAGCTGTCAAATAAGCATTTGTATTTATTTGATGTTTCTATGAGAACCCTTGGGGTTTCACTATCTCAGTAGTCTTTGTTTTCTCCTCTCCTAGACCCTCTTGCTGTTCTCTGATCTCTCTTCCTCTCATGTTCTTTTGATGCACCTACTGACAATTTCTTTTGAGCTTTCTTTCCCAACGTAAACCACAGCCTTTATGTCAGGCTTTAATTTCATTTTGCTTGAAATTCCTTTTTATTAACAGTTTTAATAAAACAGCAAAATGTTTTCAGCACACCAAATACTTCATGATCTGAGCATCAGCTACAATACATCACACAAATAGAACCATTGGTTATGCCCCCCAGAATTGATGTAATTTACCAAATCAGCAATAAATAGCATTGTCCCTGAGAAGTTTTGAACCTCAAATTCCTGATGTCTTTAAATTATTTTTTTTTTTTTTAGTGATAGAAAAGAGTTGCAATGGTACAGGTCATACTTCAGAGGACTGGTCTGTCTAAGCATCTTTGTCTTCTTGTATAAGTCTCTGTTAACTCACACTTGAAAATTACAAATTATTTGTGACTTCCAACAAGAAGGCCCAGGAAAAAGTGGGGGTTTTTTACTTGTAAATTTTTTTTCTCATAGTTTTTTTTTCTGCTGATATCAGTGGAAGTAATCTCTAAGCTACCAATGGATTTCTCAGTCATTGGTGAAGGCTTAATTTTCTCCAAACAGCAAGCTAGAACTTTGCCAGCTTCAGCAGAAAGGCAAAATTCACAAATATTACTCAGGACAGACAAAGGCTGCAGAAATAGCTGAATTTTAGAAAAGCATGAAGAAACCTCCATGGCCATGGCATTTACATGTGTTTATTAGGAAAGAGGATCTCTGCCAGTCTAGAGCTCTGTGCAAGCCTGGGAAGTGGATTTGTCATGGAAATATCTTTAGAAATGCCCCAGTGGCAGATTATGGTTCAGAACATTAAAACCATCTCTGTGGATTTCCAAATGTGGTGCATACAACAGGGTTCTTTTTCCAGAACCTGCTGGTTGCCACAGAGGTTGCATAAAATTAAGGCCTGGTGCTTTTCCCTGCATTGAGTCTATCAAGGAATTCAGAGGTCTGAATGCACTTCACTGGGACTGTTCAGAGCTTAGACACAGGTGGACATGACAATTATGGATGTTTGAGCTCTATGGCTAAAGTTGCTATATGAGTATAAAAAGGAATAGCAAAACCCTCTTGTGAAGAAGATCCTTAAAGGATTGGGGTGGATATTATCTATGGAGGAACAAGCCAGAGGATTTTTGGGCTCTCTTCCAGATTCATGTGCTGTGATTCCTTGAGAAGTTGGTTACCTGAAGTGAGATAAAAGCCTCCCATTTCACTGCTCTGCAAGTGCTGCTGGAATTAAATTGCAGTGTGAAACAATCTGATGGCTGCCTAACTTCGCACATGCTGGGCTAATTTTTGATGACAGACCTATTAGAAATGTCCACCCAACTTCTGATCCTCTGTTCATTCTTCCCAGGGATTACCCACATGGAATCATAGCCAAATGCTACATCCAATCCCATATTAACCACAGCCTGTTACCTGGCAGCTGAGAACCACCACAAGGGACTTCTCCTTCTGCTCCCTGATGGTGGGCAGGAGAGCTTCTGCCAGGAAACACATCCTTCAGAAGATTTGGCATTCCCACTTTGGGCAGCCTGGGTATTGCTCAGGTCTTGATTCCAAAGAGAGCCACCCACATAATGCACAGGCACAGGAACCAAGAATTCAGCTCAGGGAGCATTCCTCTCATCACACCTCTGTTATTTCCTCCAGTTGCTTTTCTCCTCCAATGATGTTGAGTCTCTAAGAGGGATATATACCCAGTTGTCACTGAAATATTCTCTGACGTAGGACTTCAAATTCTCTTCCTGAGAGTCTCTTTCTTTAGAAGACTCTTTGTTTCACACAGCTTTGAAATGATCATTCAATTGGGCCTTACTCAACTAGAAAAAAAGGATTAAAATACATATCTTGTAGCATTCCCTGAGCACAAACACATCACTGGATAATACATGTTGCCACTGAAAAGTCACTACTCACGAGCAGGATCATCCAGCTGCTTCAGAGTCATTCATTACTAAATGTGCTGAGATGCAATAACTTGTCTCAAACCACGTGCTTGAACCCAGCCGGGAGGTTTGAACAGCCCTTGTTCAGCTAAGGCAGCACACACTTTATGCTCACTGTTTTTCAAGTTTGCATGCCCTGTTGGGGCTGGCAGGCAAAACTGTGCAGAAAGAGCACAAAGCCAGCAGGATCTGACTGTGAGGAATCTCAGCAGCTCACTCACAGCATCCTGACATCATGTAGCACTCAGCAACTGCAAGCTCTGGGGAAGAGGGCAAAAGTTTTGATCAATTATCACTTTATGCTTTTAGTCAGGAGGTCATGATCCAAATATGTAGGGGAGTTTTAGTGTATAAGGAAAATCTGTTTTTTCACACACAAGGCAGGATCTGAACTGACTTTAAAAAGACTCAGCAGTTTTGAATGAAGCTGATTTTAGCTGAGCATATGCTAAATGCAAAGACAAGGAATAAACTGTCTCCAAGAACAGATTGTCTGTAAATCATTTTTTCTTTCAGCTGAAAGAATTTTCTGGTACTAATCCATTCTGTAGTCCACGAGAATGTTCTCTGGTTTGCTAAAACTAACTGATCTCTCTAATAACAGCAAGGTCTTGGCTTTGTTTCAAGGCAAAGGTTCACTCAATTAAATCTCATTAACAGAGGACCACAAAACCTGCACTAAAACCTTTCTGGGTATGTGACCTTCAGCAGAACTGCTTCATTAAGTCTGAGATCCTGGAGAAAATGTTTGCTGAATAAAGTCATTCCTAATTAATGTTAAAATGTCAATGATTCATCTGCCATCCATCTTTACTCCTTTTTCTTTATGCTCTTCATTATCTCTTTAATGAGCAACCAGTATAAAAGTCAAAAGCAGAATCTTTTAAATGTACATATAACAGGTGGGACAATGCAGCAAAGCAAATTTGCCAGATGTGCTTTCCCATGAAATGTTTGTAACTTCCTAAATATCTTTTGAAAACCTCACTTACATGCTACCATTAAGAATTGTTTAATTAATTTGTTATTTCTGAAAACCATAAGCATCCAGGATGAATTTTCCCTTGCACTCTTTCTGATGTTACCTTGAGTTTTATTCCAAGCCATATGCAAGTCTTGATTTAAAAAGTGTTTATTTACACAAGTGATGAATATAATTGTCTGTTCTCTAAGGATTGCTCATCCGTTCTGTTTTTTTTTTTAATTAAACATTGTCTGGTGAGTTTTTACTCTTCAGACCAGAGGGATGTCCTGGTTGGACTGGGGGGTCATCAGAGGGTGGTGTACAAACTAAAAAACTCAGAAAATCCTCATCCCTTTTTCCAATGACCAGTGATGGCAGCAGGCACTGGAGCTGCTTGGAGCTGTGTAGCAGGATTTCATGGTGAAGGCTTAGAAACACTCTCTAGCCTCTCTAATTTTTATTCTCACATTAAAGTAATGGCACCCATCTTCCTGCCCATCAATCTGCACAGCATATGCAAGCCCTTCTGGTGGTTTAAATAGGAATGACTCACATGATATTAAGCCTCTTAATGAAAATGTATGACATTATTGTCTTTCACAAAATGGGAGGTTTAAAAAGCCAAGTTAATGTCTTCCAAATGTCAGTAACTGGAGACACTTTGGACCAAGAGTGAATTTTATAGCTTTTCTGCAGATCTGTAAGATGAACTCATCTTCACAAAGAAGGACATTAGATTATATGAAAAGTATTAGAAATTAGAAGTTATTTGAATTTGAATTTAATAATAACTAGGTTCTGCCAGTATTAAAAATAATTTCATATGATGGCAATATTGTTTTCTCCATACATACTTGAACTCTGACATGTTTGCATTGGCAGTTTTCTGAGCACCTTTTCACTGGTAATTATATTACTAAAATCTCAAAGATCCCAAAATTCAGTGGTATAAAAGATCAGGCTCTAACCCTGGCTACTTATGGCAAATTGCCTTGCAAAAGTAATTTAAAAAATGAAATAGGGATAAAAGTCAAATGGTATATGGTATCCAAGGCACAGACTCTATGGCCTGAAATTGTTTTGAAGTTCCAGCCTTTCATAAGTTACAGAAAATTTCTATATTTATTTGTTCCCAATTGGCAATAGAATTTAGGAGTATTTCAGTTGTTGCTGAGGCACTTGTATAAACACTGTTAGAATTGATTGATGTGTGTCTAGGCTGATGTTGTGAACCCTAATCATCTGCAGGACACATGGCAGGAGCAGCAGTGCCTTTTATGCTGTCATGAGTGTGTGTACTAATATGAATAATTTGATGTTTCTTCAGCAAAGGTAATTAAGCCTAATAACCTATAAATACAGAGTAATTGTTATCAATTGTGTTCATTTGTGTATATGGCATAATTTGATGAGTATTTTTGATTGATATTCCTGTGGCATCCTCCCTGTGCTGTGATTAGACTGGGATTTTCATATCTGCACTCTTTCATTTACTGCTAACTAGTAATTTACCTCTAATAGCCTTTTCTTTTCTGTTCTCTCTCTTTTTTTTTTTAATTAGAGGAGATTCTGAAGACTCACATTGCTCATTGGTGGTCTCCTGATGGCACCAGGTTGGCATATGCAACAATTAATGCCTCCAGAGTCCCCACCATGGAGATCCCGATATATACAGGCATCCTTTACCCTACTGTTAAAACTTACCATTATCCAAAGGTAAGGGAAAATTAAAAAATCAGTCCTGCTGCTCCATCAGAAATAAATAATTGCTTATTTCCAGTAGGCTCAGACACGAGACTAATAATGCAAACTCATAAGCAATGAAAATAAACAGATCCAATGGAAGACCAGCTGTTCCTCGGTGAATGTGCATTTAGAACAATTTTAGCTGCTTTTGTAAAATTGCACTTTTCTGGTTCTACAAGAATTATTAACTCTATATACAATGAAAACAAAATTTAGAAATCCTTGCTTTTTTGCACACACAAAAGCAATTGTGCTTCCATGCTGGAATGGATGGAAGTTGGATGTTATCTGTGGGTTTGTCTCCAGGATGGGGTTGGTGTCTGAGGATTGGGAATTCCTTTATTTCTGTGAGTATGTTTCTATATTTAGACATGTTTCTATATTTAGATACATTTCTATATGTAGATAGATAGAAGATAGACACATATATACATATATTTTTTATTTACATAGGTTCCCTTTTGTGTAGAAGGAAAATGTAGTATTTGGGCTTCCTTAGAAGATCCAGGATGGCCTAACACCAAAGGAGACATTGGTTTTAGATGTTGGCTGTGCCTGAAAGACAGAAAAGACTTAAGAGCCAGTCTCCCCTTGCCTGCAGACCTGCAGTGAGTGTACAGCACTGGCACAGCTCTCCAGAGCTCACACTCACTGCTGCTGTTTTTGCTGTAATTTCCTGCTCTAAAGCAGCAGCACAGGGGTGATCTGCTGCAGTCATTCCTTCTGGGTCTCTTGCTTTAAGCACTGATTGCCTAAGACCTCACATGCTGATCCAAATTGAAGCACAGTTTAACAGGAGAGATGCCCACATATCTGCAGGTTTTGTGGAAATCAATGGTTCAGCAGGGGATGTCCTTTCCTACAGTACAAAATGAATCAGTATTTTACTGTATCAGCCATCATTCTATTAGACAATCTTTTGTCAAAAGGTGCAGGAAATAGCAAAATTTCTAGTTACCATGAAAAGTAGGATGTTTTACTAAGGTTAGAAGTGTCCTGAGTAGAATTGCCCTTTTTTTGCCTGCCAACCCCTCCACACCTCTGTGCCACATCCCTAGATTTGCAGTCTCCCTGTAAAAGACCACAGCAGTCCAATCCATATCCTGTTCAATGGGAATGCTTTTTATAATCCATGGGGATGTAATAAATCATTCTGTGTTGTATATGATATGGTAATCATATACAACATATGTATATATACAAGATATGGATCATATTTATTCTTTTCTAAAATCCAGGCTGGAATGGAAAATCCAACTATTTCTTTGCACGTGATTGGTCTGAATGGACCCACTCATGACCTGGAAATGACTCCCCCAGATGATCAGAGAATGAGGTAGGTGCTTCCTCACCCTTGAATGCTGGCCCCAATTCCCTTGGGGTTTTTTCAAGATGATTTTGCAGCTTTTAACACTGGACCTTTATCTGCTGCTATCAAAAAGTTTCATTTTGTGTAAATCTGCTTCTTTTTTTTCCCTAATTACCTGTCTTTTTCCATGTATTTTATAGAATATTATATTACAACAGGTTTACACTGAATAACTTTAAAATTATCCAAACACATTTTGCAAAAGAAGATGTATAACCTCTGACCAAACCAAATGGCTATTTGCCCTTCAAAAATGCAACTTCAGACTTGTGTACAGCAGGTGGGAGCTCAGGATCACAGTATCCCCATCACAGTAACAGAATGGTGGCTCCTGAACAATATAATTTCTCTTTTGGTAGCACTCTCTGTAAACAGAGAGACTCAAAAAGGTTTTAATTACAGCAATAACTTCTGACTGCAGGATCCAAGTGCTGTTCACAAATTTGTTCTATATGGTTATGGGTGGACATAATTTATTTGGTTGCAATCAATATTGCAAAATGGTGCAAAATACATCATAATTAATTAGTGCCTGTATATTTCATCAAAACCATGGCAATTGCCAACCATAGGGATGATAGAAGTAGTGCTGCCAGAGCAATAGGGGTGTATTTTCATTATGCATATGTTTTCTGAACATGAGATTAGTGTGATAAAATTTTATTAAAATAGGCAAGAGGGATGTAGTGTGCATTCAGTTACAGGAGTTTCAAGAAACAGGGGAAGCAGGTGATAAGGATCTTGCATCAGACACATCCTATCTGAAGCATTTCAGTGTGCTCAGTGCAGATGATATATGGATAGAGTGGTATTTCGTGTTCTTTTTATCTGGAGCAAAGTGATTTAGTACAATTAATAAAGCTGAGAATAAAGTGGAGATATGCCACAGCCTTTTTTCTTTCAAAACTGAAAGAAGCCAGAAATTTTCCACAGAACCTGATATTTTTCATAAAAAACTCCAAAACAATACAAAAATAAACAAACAAGCAAACCCAACAGAACAAAAAAAAAAAAGCAAAGCTGATGGTAGCTGATGGTAAAACACATTTGGAGGTGAAATGTACAATACTGAGCACATGTCCTTTTTAAATATCTTTCATTCTGAACATTTTTGTCAAGATTTCTCCAATGCTGTGATCTTCTGTTAAAAAAAGAAAGCAAAGAGAAGGGGTTGAAATTGAAGGCTGAAAAGCAGTATATAACATTTAAGGCCTGACAGGCATTTTTTATTTCCGTGACAACCACTGGACCTCAAGAGTTTCATCTGCAGGTGGTCAGAATTAGATCATCACCCAGCTTATTTCTCATATTTGCATCTCAGGTGACAAATTGAGGGATGATATTATCTCCCTCAAGTGCAGATATCATCACTGGTCCTTGCATGGGCCAGAAACAAATAAATGATGGAAAAACTCAGACACCTCCAGTCTGGATCTGATGAGCTGTCAGTGCCCAGGGACCATTGGCTGTAATAAATCACTGTTCTTTGTGCTGTTTGTGGCTTTGTTGCCATGGTCATACTGTAGGTATTCTCATTGTAGAGTCACACCTCACGTTAGGGATTCCTGCATCCAGGAAGCAGCCATGGAAAGCTGGGGCATGAACAAGGCTGCTGCACTATTGTCTCAGATGATTCAAACTGAACCAAAAATGACTTTACTGGGATGTGGAAATCCACTGCAAATCCCAGGATGGCTTCACCCTTCTGACAGGGCTCAAACAAGGTGTCCCTTCCCTTGTGGATGTCTGTAAATGCAGTGGTCAAGGATCTGCTGGTATAGATTTTGTTCTATGGAAGAAACAGGTTCTCCCTTAAATCACCTCCACATAAAATGTGGGACAGGTCAGGCAGAGAGGGCTTGGGAATTGCACTGATTTCCCATTTCTCTCCACTGGCTGCTCAACCAGTTCAGCTGCAGGGGCAGCAGATGTTTAAAATTAGCTGAGATGAATCACACTTTCTTGTCTCATTTTTCTCTGCAAAATGGGAACCATAAAACTTGGGTGGCCTACAGAAGAGATGTGAAGGGAAGTAAATGAAATGAAAGACTCCATACTACTCAAAAACTAGAATAATGACAATCCAGGTATCTGCAGTTATCTCTGTGCTGGGTATTCCATGGTCTTGATGACTGGAAGAAGGTTCAGAGGGAAATTGAGACTCCATGCCCTTCTCTGGGCTGGTAGTGAAGACCATGATTCCCATGAACTAAAATAAAAATTAAAAGTTCCTGAGAAAGAACTGTAGCTCCTGTGTTCAAACAGTGAGATGAATGTAAAAATTGAATATATGTCCTTGAAACTTTAAATTGGATTTATAGAAAAAGTGCTCCAAGCCACAGTAAGTACTAAAATCACATTCCTTTTCTGGGGAGACTGAATCTGCTCAGTTCATTTGGAGAGAAAGAAGAGACAGTTATACAGTTTAATTTTGCTGTGTTGCTTTTTTTTCCTCTTAGGGCCCACACTGTTGCTGATGAAGAGTAAAATTACAATTTTATTTCAGGCTCTAAATTTTCAGAATGCTGTTATATCACCTGGGCATATCCTTCCCCCAGTGCAGTGGATGCAAGCATTGAGGCTTTTTGTTCCTTTCCCCGCAGCCAATTTCAGGCACTAAATATTACTGAAAAGTACAAAATCAATTTCCAGCTTGTTATTTTTCTAGACAAACAGACCTTTGTGCTTTTGCCCTTTCTCTTCAGTATATGCAGGAGCTCTTGCCAGAACACAAAGGATTCTCTAGCAACACAGCACATTATTTCCAACGAGAGCAACAATTCCTTATACATATTTTATGGCAAACAAATGAACTAATAAATTTTTTATAGACTGTATGCTGTAAAAAGTCTTATTATACTTTAAGGATGTCTTGGCCCACGTGGCCCAGCTGTATATCATAGCATCACCAGCTTTTCCAGTTCAGCCAGAGTTGTGCCCCACAAATGAAGTGGTGGAGGCCTGAATTGATGCAGAGGTGGACATCTGGTGGCACCATGCCCTGGCTCTGAGAAGGCAACCATCAGGGAATTTATTCCTGTGTTTTCCAGCCCCAGCCTAAGAGGTTGCAGTCCTCACTGTAGCATGGGACTTTTCCTGAAGGTATCAATGTGCAGCCCACACCCATGGTTTACTCCAAGTATCATCACAACCTGAATATGCCCAGCAATAAGATGATGCAGGCAGTGTAGGAGGGTGGTTTTGCTCGTGGAAACCATCTTTGCTGATGTCTTTATGGCAACCAGCTGCATCTGCTTTACAGAAACCCTGCATGGCTCCAAAATCTATCCCTCTTACTGTTTGTCTTTTAATACGACATTCCTGGATGCTTTGGCGTGTAGCCAGCATGCTCAGAGACCATCATCTTTTCATAAGCATCAAGAACCCAACCATTGATAGTGATGGGCCTGAGTCAGCTCAGTTTAGTGTGCTCAGAATGGAAATGGTTTGCAGTTTTTTTCCACCTGTGCATAAATTTGTAGCTCCAGGCTGTTCAATCCTTCTTGGAAGACTGAAGAGCTTGAAAGATTCTTTATCTCTGTATTCGTCAATTCTTTGAAAATAACTTCCAGAAGTGGCAGATAAAACACCTGCACAGCCCTAAAAATGTCATTTTCAGAGGTTGAAATCCATACATAAAGCAGTGTAGATGCATCAGGACACAATATTCTTTAAAAGCACAGCTCTCTCCCGGACTGCTTGCCTGCAGCAGCCCCTGGCTGCCCTGCCACGTGGCAGTTCATTAGGATGTGACCTGGCTTGTGCGTGTCTGTGTTTGCAGGGACTACTACATCACCATGGTGAAATGGGCCACCAGCACCAAGGTGGCAGTGAACTGGCTGAACAGGGCCCAGAACGTGTCCATCCTGACGCTCTGCGACGCCACCACGGGGGTCTGCACCAAGGTAGGAGAGATCTGCACAGAGCTCACCTGCTTCAGTGTCCACGGCCCACCGAAGAGAAACTATTTCACTTATTGTGCATGGTGAAAAGCCAGCTGGAACGCCTTAATTTAGGCAGACAGAACATAAGCAATGTTCAATTTTTTTTAACACCTAGCAATCCAAGAAAACTCTGTGTATGTTGGAGGGAGAGTGATTACCTGTCTTGATTACCTTTATCCACGCACAAGCAACAATTTGCAGCCTAAATATCTTTGCAACATTCTAGCTGCATCATATGTATTTAATGGCATTAAAACCAGCTCATGCTTATCTACACATACCTTAATTGTAGTAATTTAATCCCTTCTATAAATGCAGCAATACAAATGGTGTATTGATTTAGATCAGCAGATTCCATCATTTAAACTGGCACGTTTCCACTATATAAAATTGTTCTAATACACCCGTCTCTTGAAAAACATCATGCAATTCTGTGCACAGAGCATGGTGATTAGTTTTTTTCTTAATAAATTTCATTTCAGCCTTTATTTATTTCTTAAGAAAATTTATTTCTTTGGGGAATAATACATCTTGTAGATCTATGTGTTTTGTCTGTATGTGTAAAATGCTTTTTTGCTCTAGTGAATGTTTACCATCAGGGAGGAAAGTCAAGAAAAGCAGCCACTGGATTCCACTCCAGAAGCACATATTTAAGCAGTTTCTCTATATTTCTGAGCAACTTTTAAACTCCAATCCAGCAGCTTCCTGCATTGATAGGCAAAATATAATATTATAAGTATGTTATTAATGATCTTTTCGTGTTTTAGAAACATGAAGATGAGAGCGATGCCTGGCTGCACAGACAGGTAAGAGTGATCTTCTCCTTGCAGTCAAGTTTTTGGTAGGATTATTGCTTCACTGAGTTTTTTCCCAAAGAGAAAAAACTGATTTCCAGATTTGACAGAGACACTTGGAAGATGGCATGATCTGTATGACAGAAAAGAGCTTTTTCAGAAACAAGTTCTTAGTAAAGGTGCCATCCACTCTGGTAGGTCCCATAGTCCTTAGCCTGCAATTTACTTGTATCTAAAAGAGATAAAAAGCTGATGTGGATGGAAAATCACTCACTGGCAGTGTCTGTATAGGACTCACCAACCTGAGGCAATCCTTCACACCCTGCCCTGACACTGGTGCTGAGGGTTTAAATACTATGGTGGTTGTTTTCTGGTCATTTTATTGAGAGGGTCTCTGTCCATTCAGACAAAATCATGCAGATAAACTGTTCAATCACTTAAATATAATCTATAACAATTGCCCAGGAGTCAGTTTGCGAAGGGACCTGAGATTAAATGAAGCTGGTTTTGAGAGAGAAGCTGTGATCTCGATTCAGCCACAGCACCAAACTGTTTTTCAAGCCCTGTGTGAATGTCAGACAGAGAGCAGCATGTCACAAAAGATCTTGTTTGATACATTTTTTCCAAATCCAGATTTAAAGCATTTCAGGTTTTTGTCACAGCCTGCTCGAGGAGCCAAGACTCTGTAGAAATGGCACTTCATCAGTTCACAGCAAGAACAATGCTCTCCTCTGTTCCAGTGGCTGTCCTGCAGCAATGGGCTGTGTGTGATCCAGATGAAAATTGATTGTATGGGGGAAATAGATTTTGTGCTCCAAGCACTTTAAATAATCTTTGCTGATATAGAGTAAAAATGGTGCTGAAATAGTCTTTACATTCATAAGGACTGTATTGGCTTGAGTAGGAAACAAAAATTTAAAAGACAAGCCAAATAAAAGAAAAATTAAATTGTCCAGATATTGTACATTAAAAAAATAACAATAAAAAACTTAAATGGCATTATTTACTTTATAAGTTGGAAGGCAATAGCAGTAAAATAATAATTTCATTGCTATTTACTGCAGTACAGTAGAAGTTGTATTTTATATTATTAATAATGTATAGTAGAACTTGTGTTTTTACACTGCTCTGGTTATTTAGTCACCTACCACGTGGACAGGCATTAAAAGATGGTGTTTTATCCTCATAGCTGAAGTAAATGATCTGTCAATCTCTAATGGGCCTGCTCCAGGGAAATACATTTTGTTTTACTACATCTCCAAAAAGCATATACTTAGTTTGAGAGCACACAGTTTGATGTTACAGAAGGATGTTCATTACAGCCAAATGAGTCAGACATCTCAGTGCTAAACTAAAATAACATTTTCTATGGACTTTGGAGACATGATAGCATCCTTCAAAAGCTTTTGTAAGAGTCTAAAGAATTATATAGCTCTTTTTGCCTGTATTTCTGACAACAAAATTACTTAAAATTCTAGTTTTGACTGAATATGATTACTGGGATAATTCTATTTTCTATACTTGCCTTTTATTCTATGACACATTAATCTAGATAACTGGAAAGATATTTTCATGGCATATGTGCCTGCCTATGAGGATGATGTGAAAATGTTAAATGCTAGTTTGGGTCCACTAACCTCTTCAAGAAGGAGATGAATTGCACATCAGGCAGCTGCTGAAGGAGCTCTGGAGTGTGTCTTGGCTCAGGATGAGGACTCCTTGGTTGGGACATTTTAAAATAAGTGTTTGCAAATGAGCCAGGTGCTCTGTCCCCTCTGGAGACAGCCAGGGTGGTGGCAGTGGGGTCACACAGTCAAAAAAAACAAAAACAAAACAATATAAAAGATAAACATACAAGCCATTAATTTGAATTTTGTTGTTCAGTAGTTTGGTGACTCAGTAGCATTTAAAAAGTCTGTGTATGGAAGGTCATAGTAAACAATCTCATGTTTCCTTCTGGGCTTAAGTTCATGAATATATTTTATGCAAGTCCAAAATCTTTGGAGAGCCTCTCTCCAACACAGGCAAAGAGAAATAATGCAGCCACTCCCTGTGCAGCTAAAAAGTAGAATAAATTACTCCAAGTATAATGAAGAATACACAATATTTACACAGGAATTGCTAGAAAGTATCTGTCACTCTTTTTCAGATGAGGTGGCACATGTTCACTAAAACTATCCAGGGACTCTGCAAGTTTATACCTTTATTTATATACTTGTTTGTGCCCTTCTGAGCACAAGAGCCAGGCTTAACTTCACTCATACTTTTGCTTAAATACACAAACTGTTTGAACCACTAATTATAGCTGTGAGCAATTTTGTTTCAATTTCTGTGAAGAAGCCATTTTCTAATAATACTGGGGATGGTCATATACAGGCAATGATTCAGAAAGGGAGAAATCAGGCAATTTCTGTGCACCTGCTGAAGATAAACTTTACTGGCATTTTAATTGTTTTATTTATTTAATTGTGAATGTGGGCTTTAAAAAGAAATAATTAGAAACCAGGGTGCAATTGCAGCTGCACCAAAGGCTGCAGTCTTTGGCATTGATGTTGGCAGGACCAGGAGATCATAAAATTGTTTAGAGACCTGTAACCTCCAAAACTGCCTGCGTGGGCTGGCTGCCCTCCCCTGATAACAGCTCCTTTGGGTTGCATTTTTCTTTCCAGTCCTATTTGCCCGCTGTTTTAGATGACCTCAGTCTGAAGCTAAAGACTCACTCTTTTAAAAGGTGGAGATGATGGAAGTCTGGCACCATTTTTCTTCTACTACTCCCTTGCTTTAATCCTGCATGATAACCCAGTAATGATTCTTACATGTAGTTAATAGGAGGTTTGAAAAGAGATTGTTAATTTTAAAACAGAGTTTGGAGGAACTTACAAACAGGACCCACTTTTTCACTCTGTAAAGCCCTTTTGCCACGCAATTATCCCCTAACTGACCTAATTTAGCCTAAAGACAAAGGATGCAGCAGAAATAGGACCCAGAGTTCCATAACTCAAATACTCAAATTCATCTGCCAGGGATAAAAAAGCAGCTCCTGGCTCCAAGCCAATCTTTTTGGTGCTTAAATGAAGAGTTCCCATTTCACCCAGTGGAGGGGATCTGAGATGGCCAAAGGTGTGGTGCACCCAGCCACAGGAGAGGATGAGGACAGGGATGAGGATGAAGCTCAGCATTGCCCCAGGGGCTGTGTCAGGAGATGGAAAGAGAATTTCCCCTGTGCTCTGAAGAGGAGGTGTCTGCATTGTCCCATTAGAGTCAATGCACACTGGGTGTTTTCTCTGTTGGATTAAACAAAGTATTTACCAATATGCAGGGGACTAAAAGGATTCATGTCATGCCTGTCTGTTTATCAGAGCTATGGGCTGTGACACAGAAAGTATTGGGGCATTTCACTGAAAGAACAATTGCCAACACAGCAAAATCATTAATTCTGGGATCTGGGCAAAGGTGGATCAGACACAGAGGGCAGGAGACTGCTGAGGAAGGGAAAATGAATCATAGAATCGATTGGAAAGGATCCAGTTATTCAGATTAATTTGTTCCCTTTTTAAAACCTGAGGATGAAGCAGAAAATCATAATTCTTATGGAAGTATAACTCTCAGTCAGTAATAAAACCAATATGCAAAGAATCTGCCTTACCACTAATTTCTGTGAGGAAATGTGTCCAAGAGCAGGTGAGGCACTGTAGGAGAACAGGAGGCTGGGAGTGAGTTGAGCACAGACAAACCAGTTTGGAGTTGCAGTGTTTGGTGCTGAAATATGATGATTGTTTGCCCCATGTTAATGTGTGGGTGGTTTTGGTGGAGCTGTACTTCTGTGTCCACTAATCTTTCATAAATTCCAGCTCACCATAAATCAGATAATTTCTCTTTCAAACATTTGTCCCGGTGTGTGTTTGATTATGCAAATCCTCAAGGTCAGAGACACCTGTGCACTCCCCACCATCCTGTACACACCTTATCTTCCCTTGGTTTGCCAGAGGAGTCTTCCTCAGGTGGCAGCAGATCCAATAATTCTCAATGATCCCTCTACAAACACAACTGAATACATTCTACCTTTTTCTCTTTAATTGTTACTCTTTACACCAGGACTTTGTGATCCTCTCTAGGATCTACAGAAGCTCAGACTGCATTTAGCATTGTCCCCTCACCCATCCTGATTCTGCCAAACTTGGGAGAAGCCCCTGAGGCACTCCTGGTTTTCTTCTCCTGACCATTTGCAGCCACACTGAGTTGTGCAGCTCTAGCTCCAGCACTGAACCCTCCAGGAGGTTCTGAGCCCTCCAGCAGCCTCCCATTACCTTCTTTTTTCCAGTAAAGCTGAACTATTTGGTGCCATAACTTTCTCATATTTCACTATCATCTACAACAAAAAGATTACAGACATTTGAAATTATACCCATATCCTTTAAGATGTATTAATGAAACATGAATTTGTTCAATCCCTTTTTGCACCTACTGATTCCAAACCTCCTGTGGCAAAAACTTCCAAACATTCCATACCTGCTACATAGTAAAAATATTTTTTACTAGCACTAAACTTTATATATTATTTTCAAAGAATTGTTCTGGAATTGCTTTGGGCTGATCTTTTCTATTATTGTGGGATTCAGTCAACAGTAGTTGACAAAAGGTTTGGACAGTTCATATCATATGCTGCATATTTTAATTATGTGCCCAGTATAGCTCCCTAAATTATAAAATCCTGTTCCAAAAGAATGTTTCTCAATTTATTTACTCCCCTGAGTAAGTCATAATCTCTGTCACAGAGTTCTGCCTCAGTCATGTGTTGCCTTTCCAGCAATGAAACATGCAAACAGTGTCTTGTGTCATCAGCCCAATGCTAAATCCTCACATCTGTCACCTGTGCCATGAACCTCCTTCCCCTGTAGCTCTGAATGAACTTCAAACTCATCAGCACAATGCCTGCTGTCGCTGGCACAGACATATTGCTGGAATATATAATGCAGGAGGCACAGACACAGAAATGGAGGGTGAACTCATTGCTACCTACCTCAGGAAAGGAAAACCTGTCGAGCAGAAGGTTTGCCTGAGCTATCACAGTCATTATTCAATGAGGTTTCTCCTGTCATGAAAGACATTTGGAAATAATACAGAGTTTCATGTTTCAGGTTCCAGAACAATGTCAGAAACAAATGAAACCATTATTTCATAGAGCTGCAACAAGCTGCAAATGGGAACATTTTAAAATACACTGAAAACCTAAGCAGGGGAAAATAAAAGGCAAAAAGAACAGTTTGAACACCTAATAGAGCACTGACAAATCTGATAAATAGCAGAAAAGAATTAATCAGTAAAGAACAAAGGAGCAAAGGAACATGGGGTAAGAATAATGTGTTAGCTTCTGGGAAATAAAAATGTTTGTTCCTTTGCTATGCCATTAGTCTCCATGTACAATCAAGTTCCTGCTGGTTCAGTGTGGTGTCTTGGCATGTGCCAAGCAGAAAGTCAAGGGGTTTGATTAACACTGAACTGCAGAGGAGCCAGAAGAGGCTGGCAACAATCTTCTTGTTGCCCTGGATAAAGAAAGGCCAAGGAAGTGCTTATCCAGGCACTGAAAATCCTGATATCACAGGACAGCTTCAGCAGAGGTTTAGCTGAAGTTATAATTAGAAGTTATTCACTTCCAATTAGCTGAGACTTAGATTTAGCTTCATGTAGCCCGTTGGTTCAGTGCTCCTGCATCCTACCACATGGACCATCTTTCTGCCTTCCCTCGTAATCTGCTGTTCAAGCTTTTCATGTAGTGGAGACTTCTCATGTGCCTCAGGGCTCTGTTCACAAAAAGAAGACTCCCTTCCAGGAGGTGCTTGCTTGCCACGTGTGATGTTTGATTTTCCTTCTGCTGAGTCTCTTCTATCTCTGGGTGAAAGTTCCAGTCACCCAATAAAAGTCAATCACTACGTTCACCTGGGAGCTCTGTGTCAAAGAGTTCTGCAGCAGATCCTCTCCTTCATAAATAATTCAGTGAGATAAGCATTTGTAAGGCAGTAGAAAAAAACAGCAGTTAGATGCTGTTCAGTTGTGTTTCCTCTGGAAGAACAGAGAGGTTCTTCCAGCAGGGTAAACAAGGTTTGTCACAGCAGTTCTAAAGGCTCCAAGTGCCCCGAGCAGCCAGCTGTGTATGTGCATTTTGGCTTTGTAAATGGTAATTGACTTCACAGCCAAGGAACTCTCTTTGCTGCCAGTCCTCCCACAGCTGAAAGGTGTCTGCTTTCCCAAGAGCAAGAAGCAAAACGGAAAACTTTCTCCAGTTTTCAGTGAGCTCTTTGTTTGCCTCAGCTTGTTGTCAAAGAGCACTTTTTATTTTGCTGTGAATTCATTTTACAGGGTGTTGGAATGCTGAGCAATTCTAAATACGACCAATTAACACTAATGCACCCCTTCATTTTGCTGCTTATACAGAATGAAGAGCCCATTTTTTCCAGGGATGGTCGGAAGTTTTTCTTCGTGCGGGCCATTCCCCAGGGAGGACGTGGGCATTTCTACCACATCGCCATGTCATCGTCACAGGTGACTCTGCTGCTGCTGCTCTGGGTCTCACCTGAGGCAGACAGCAAAAAAAAAGTGGTGTCTGTGCTTGTAGCAATGAGATGGGGAGGTGCAGATGTAAAAAAGTCTTGTTCATAAAAGAAAACCTCCAATGATGTTTTATTTGGGCATAAGATAATGTGAATTTCCAAAGAAAAAGGTCAGTCAGCTGTCTCTTTCTAAATATTGGTTTGGTTTGGTTTTTGTAATGCCACTTCAGTTGTATATAAGTAAATCTAAAAATGGATTAAATAGAAGCATGTGGGCACGCTGGGTTAGAGGAAGGGGTTTGAAGTTGCTCTGTGCTGAATTCACCTTATTATCTGCAGTGGAGTCATGGTTAAGATGATTCTGACTCTCTGTTATTTCTATGCCTGCAGATTCACAGAAATGGCAGGTGCAGTGGTGGAAATTGCAGATGTTTGGTTTATTTTTCATGGGCAATGGAGCCAGAAGAGCTCCCTTTTTCAGAAGTTTTAACAATAATGAAATCTACTTCTCTTTTCTTTCTCGCAGCCCAACAGCAGCAATGACGACTTACAGGCTATTACATCTGGAGATTGGGATGTGACAAAGATCCTGGCATATGATGAAAAGAGGCAGAAAATGTAAGTGAATTTGGCCTGACAAATCAGACTTCCTTTGTTTAGCCCTGGGCTCTGGGTTGGTTACAAAGGTGCTGTGTGTGCACTGAAACCTGTGAGCATGAGGAGCTGGGGAAAAGAAAGCAGAAGGAGCTGTCTCTGTTTTGGCTTAACCTCTCACACCATTACACAAATCTTCTGCTATTTTGAATAATCTGTACAGTTCAAACCTCTCTTTCTATGACTTAAATAAATATGTGCAGAGGAGTAATTTTTCCTGCTGCAATTTTTGATATTACCCTCTGTAGGAAAGCTAATACACTTTTCTGTAGGAAAGCAGCCTGTTTTCATCAACCACTTGGTCAGTTGTGGAAAGAATCTTTTGTTGACCTGCAAAAATACCAATGCAGTGAAAAAAATAAAAAAACCAACAAACCAAAAAAAACCCAAAGAAACAAACAAAAAAAAGTGGTTAATTAGAATTAGGAAAAAAAAAAAGAAAAACAAGAAAAACAAGCCCACCCTTCTTCACACTTGCTCTTTATGCTTTTAAAATAAGTTCTGTAAACATTCACTTTTTCAAGTATACTTCAAGAAATTACATAAGAAAATATTTGGACAGCTTCTGGAATTAAATAACAGTTTCCTTTCCTGGAAAATTTTTGGGTGGATACAAGGTTGTCACTTCTCAGTTACTTAAAGTCACTGAACAGTGGAGTAAACAGTCTCTGGAATATAATAAACTCTGAGTGATCATTAAGACCACAGTGCTTCTTCAAAATTTTGAATGCTCTCTTTTACCAATAAATTCAGAACAATATAAAATCATAAAATATTGAATCACAGAATGGCTTGGGCTGGAAGAGAAAGAGCATCCAGTTCCAGCTCCCTTCCACTGGACCAGGTTCCCCATCAAACCTGGCCTTGAACACTTCCAGGGGTGGCCTAAGTAGCAAATTAACACCAAGGTTTTATTAGCATTTTAACTGGCCAGTCAAGCAGAAAATGCCACACACAATTTGTACAATAAGGTGTGTTCCTAGGAAAGTGCAGCTTGTTGGAAGCAGATCAGCAGGGATGAAAACCCTTCCTGGCATTGTTCACCCCATGGATGCTACATTTGCTCCTGTGCTCTAGCATTATCCACACAAAATGCATCTGGGGGTTTAATTCAGATCTCACAGGTGGGACTGAGGTTGGCCACCTCCTGCAGCATCAATAATTTACCTCCAGAAGCTGCCACTGCACAACAGAGCTTGTGTTGCTTATCCAGAGAGGAGCTGAAAACAGCACAAAACAAGGACAACAAAATGTTCTTCAGCTTCATGCTCTGCCTTCCCATCAAACCCTGACTGGCAAAGAATAAATGTGGCAAGAGAAGTAAAAAATTCCTCTAGAGAGAGAACAAAGGTCTTTAAAAGAAATTTGGAGCCATGACTCTTGAGATAAAAACGTGGATATCTTCCACTTAATCATTTGATCCTTTTTTCATCCACTGACATGATGAGTGTAGGATCCAAGGTTTTCCATGCTTGTTTTAACTGCAGTGCAGTCTGTACCTTCTGGAGCCTCACAGTGATGTGTCCCTGTCTATCCTTTCCTAGCTCAGCTTAAACTTCCCTTGCTTTTACAAGATTGTGAAAATGGCAATATGAGTGAAGGATGTTGTTGCATGAGACACTTCTAAACACCCTTCTAATGCTGCAATTCACTTCTATTTTTCCCCTCCAGTTATTTCCACAGCACAGAAGATTCGCCACGAAGAAGACATTTATACAGGTATGTGCTTTAGTAACTTCATATACAGAATTTCCCATTTCTTCAGTTTTACACGAATCATAAGCAATTGCAGTAGAAGCAGTTTCTTAAGTTTTTTTCTTTAATGGCATTGCAAGATCTCTCAGTGTGTCACTGGAAGAAACAGTGTAACCATAACAAATGAAATGCTTGACACTTGGGAATGTTTTACATTTAGCAATTTTCTCATACTAATGCGAATTTTAAATTGGTGTCAAGATTGACTATCACAAAACTTTCCAACAGAACTGCTGAGCACTTGAAGGAATTCAGAAATACAATAATGGTATAAACTGTCTTTATACTTTCCAATAAAGGTTTTGAAAATTTTCATAGCAGCTCACCTCTTCATGGAATTTAAAAAAATTAAAAATATTTTATGTTTACAAACCTTTTTCTTCAGTTCCAGAAGATTTTAGCATCATCCCTAAGTATATGAAGAGTAAAAGGCTGGTTTTACACCAAGCTATTAGTAGTGTTGCCATTGTGAGATATTGTGGAAGCAGATTACAAAGTGGAGGAAACACAAACTTTTAAAGAAGAATTTCAGAGTAATTTTTCCATTTGTCCTGTTTTTGAAGAAAAACAGTCACCCTGCTGCCACCACAACCTCTGCAATGAAGGTCAGGGTTGGTGAAGGCATCAGTGAATAAGGCACAGTCAGTACATTTTCCTTCTCTTACATGACATCGTAATTTTTTTCCTCAGTGGGAAGGAAGTTAGAGCAAAGTAAATTACCTGTGATTAAATATTTTTTTCCTTTTGAGACCTATATGCCTGTTCACTGCAGGCCACAATTTTTGAGAGTATTTCCTTGAAGAAAAGTTTTTAAATTATATTAACCCTCCATTTCTATTGAAATGAATGCTTAAAAAATGGAGTCCAGGCACATTTCAAGAGCTGCTGGCATGAGTGAGAGCAGCTCTTCCTCATCAGCATCCATCTCACCTGGTGCCTCATCAGCTTCATCTGCCCACACAGACTACAAAGAGCAGATGAAGATCTGTTTAGAGTTTTTTCCTCTCCTTTTCGTGTTTGATTTAGTAGATTTAATTAGGATTTTAGTCAGAGATAAAATCTGAGCCTAAACAACAGCCCATGATTACTCATTTCAGTCTCTGTGATCCTAAGAATGTTGCTCAGCCTCATCACTTGAAATGGTAGCAAAAAACACTCCTCTCCTTTACAGTAATTCTAGAAAGATCTCTTGGTTAATATTCTTGAAGTTTCAAAATGCTATCTATTAATATTTGCTAATAATCTATAATTCTTCAGCATTCAGTGGACTCTTAGCAGCAAACCTGTGAGCAAATGGACAGGCCACGTTACCTTCCTCAGCAACAGATCCCTAAATACAATCCTTCTTTCTGCTTGGGGGTTTTAAGAGCAGCTATTTAAACCTGTAAAAAGGTCTTTGGCCTCTGAGGGAGCAGCTAGCAAATCAGACCAGTGGTGAAACCAATACGAAACTTAGAGAAAGCCATTCCAGCTCTTTATTGTCTGTTATAATATAAAGAAGTGTCAAAATGTTGTTCCTTTGTTTCATGCCTTCATAGACCAAATTATTACTTCCTCTTGTGAAATTGCAACCATAATTTTCTTTTAAAAACTGTGCCTTCCTTCATAACCACCTGACCTTGCAAAATGACATCAGAATCCATTTATATATTCTCTATTCAAGCAGGAGGGGGAAAAAATCCATTATTGCTATTTAAACTCAACCAAATGGAAATACTTTGTCTCTCACTAATGTTGGACATATTAGATTTATATTCTTGTTCTAAAGAAAGGTTCAAGTAATGTTGCTTTCAAATAACATTTGCTCAGTGACCTTCATGGAATTGTATTAACTTTTTCAGTGCAAGCACAAATGGGAACTTCAACAGGAGGTGCCTGTCCTGTGATCTGATTGAAAACTGCACTTATTTCAGTGCATCCTTCAGCCACAATCTGGAATACTTCCTGCTGACATGTGAAGGTATGTGCTGGGTTTTGTCACTGCAGTTGTTGTGCCTCAGGGGCAGGATTTGGAGCCAGCACTGATATCTTCAGACATTCTGTGGACCTGAGGTCAGCTTTGAAAGACTGCTATGAATATGTTGCTTTTAAAGCTTTACTCTGGACATTTTTCTTTTCTTTTGTGTTTTTACTTGTAGCTAGAAAGCAAATATTTACAACATTTTCTGTGCATACATGCACAGAAGGTAGAGGTAGATTCCCCTAGCCACCACAAGCATCCTTAAAGGGAAGTAACAGCAAAAGCTGGAGGATATAAAACATAAGAAAATTTGTGAGAGAGAAGCCAGCAAGGTGGGGCTGACTATGGGTGACTGGGACTAAGTGCCAGATGCATCAAGCAATACTGTGAACAGAGGGATTTAAATTAAGTTACAGCAAGAAGACAGTTTGCCAGAAAGGCAGCTTACAGAAATGTTCCTGATGGACAGTGTGAGTACAGAATATCTGGTGCTTCCCTGCTCAGCCATCATAGATTAACTCGGCATAATCTGCAGGTCCAACAGGAATTTCCTGTTTTGAAAATGCCTGAGAGTGTCCAAGAATCTTAAGATGCATTTCAGGAGAAGAGTCATTGAAGTTTTCTCCAGCTCTGTTAAGACTAAATGCAGAATTTCACAAAACTTAATCCTGTATAATTTAATTTTGCTTAATTATCCAAAATTGTACACAAAATGCATGCACACCAGTCATCCTGGGATTGAAGCTGCTCAGATGGCTGCATATCCTCTGAAGAAGACTTGAAAAGCATCAAACAAACAAGAAATTCCTTATTTTCTACAGCTCAGGAGAGAAGTGAGTGGGTTTTGGAGGGATATTAGGAAGGAATTCTTTGCTGTGAGGGTGATGATGCCCAGGAACAGGGTGCCCAGAGAAGTTATGGATGCCCCATCCCTGGAAGTGTTCAAGGCCAGGTTGGATGGGGCTCTGGGCAATCTGGGATGGGGGTGCCCATGGCAGGGACATCAGGGGTGCCCCTTCTCTGAGTACCAATTATCCACTGCTGCCACTGACTCTTTGTGGTGAGCACCAAGGGTAAGAAAGGAATATCTGAGGTGGTAAAATAGGAAATAATTAAGATAAAGTGGAGAAGTAGAATGGTTTATATAAAGTAAAATACCTGGACTATGACAATTGCAAAAACATGTTTTTCCCCTGGAAGGGAATAATAGGTTGGATGTCAGAGGCATTTAGAGGTATTAAAAAAAACATCTGTCTGGCAATACAGTACAGGAAAAAAAGACCATTAACAGGACAATATAGTAATTAATTTAATGGACTAATTAACTTCATGGACTTACCTGTAAATCTGAATTTATAGTTACAGCAGACATAGGCAGGAAAGTGTCATTTGTCAATAAACATTCAGTTCTGTAATAAATATTATGTTTACTAAGTCTCTCCCTTTAAAAGAAAAACCTTGTTTATTTTTTTCTTGTTTTCATTTCAAGAACATCTGTCAGGAGCTACCAAAGACAGTGTCCATTTCCTTTGCACCAAGATAATTGCTTTACTGTAATTAGAAGCATTTGTGAATAATAAGATTAAGGTTTCTAAAGGGTCTTATCAACAGTTATGAGGTGATTTGGTTTTGATTACATTATATCTCATCCACAAAAACCTGCAGTGATACCTGAAGAGATTAATGAGTTTTATTACTATGTACATTAATCCAGTACACAAGATAATGATTTTGCATAATAAACTATGGGTTTGATTCTCAGCTGCTGTAAACAATAACTCAATTATAAGGTCATTAGGATTAGCTATATTTCTGAATATACCTTTGTCTGAATTTTAGCTATTCAGGACTAAATCCTCAAATCTCACTGTAGCACAAATACAGCACAGCTTCATCTGTGTCTTCATCTGTGTCTCCAATCAGATAACTTTAAAGAAAATACGCATACATGAGAAAATACAGAAATCTAGGTAGAATTTCCATTTTCAGTGATTTTATTAATATATCAGTCCATTGCATTTGGTAGTTATTCCTTATTTACATGACTTAAAGTGGGAGGTCTTTCAACCTATTTGCTCTCAAGCAGTTTACAGGAACCACATTTCTTTTTGGCATTTTTCATGTAGGATGCATCTAGCTTCAGGTTATGGGTGCACTTGCAGCAGGGACAGCTCCCTTTGGTTCCTGCTGCAGCTGATGTGAGCCAGGGCAGTGGAAACCTCTGTTCTGGGTGAAGTACAGATTTCTGAATAAAAAATATCATCCTATCAGACTTTGGTCATTTAAATAGGTGCTGTGGTTTCATGGAACATCACCTGGATCCTCTAATAGGACAATTCCTTTTCCACAGCTCCTCAGACTGCTTAGCCACAGCTTGGCCATGCCTCAGCTCCTCAGGGTGTTGAGTTATTCCTCACAAGCAGTCGTGCTCTAGTATAGTTTAGATTAACAGAAAATCTTATTTATTCACATGCAGATACAATATAAAAAAAGAAAAGCTCCTTGGATGAGGATCTGTCAAGGGACCCTGCAGATCCTGTAGCTTATCCAGCAGACAGAGCAAGCCCACAAGGGTGAACAAGAATTTGTCTCACAATGTCTGCTCCCCAAGGGTTTCTGCCAGGAGTTCCCATCTCTGTTTTCCCCCAAAAAAAATCCCCACAGTTGGAGACAATGTTCACTACCAGACAGTGGCAGACAGTACCTGTGGCTCTTTAGTCCTTTCTTCTCCATAATATGTCTAACATGCATAAATTTGTATCTAAATATGTATTAAATACATAAATTTCCATAATATGTATAAAATACATCAATATGTAAAAAAGCATCCAGAGCTCAGGTCTTGCTGTCTACTCTGTGACTGTGACATGAAAATGTGTCTTCATAGTGATCACTGGTGTACCCAATGTCAGCCCCATATATATACCTTTGGAGGTAGCTAAATTAAATTATTTTACTGTAATCAAGCCTGTAATAGCTTAAAAATTTGTATTTTCTCACCTGTCCACAGAACAAATGCATGGACAAATATTTATGGCTTGAAAAAATTTCTGTACTGACAGAGAATAACCTCTACCATACCTCAGTTTCACTCTATCCCTTCCTTTCACTCTTCCCTTCCCTTCCTCTAACCCTTCTGTCACACATTTCATTGGGTTTAGGGCTACAGACATGATTGTGGCTCAGCTGAACTTCTCTATAATGGATGGCAAGGTCTGAGCAATCAATCATTGCTTATAAAATATTTTGTGGCACTTAAATGAAAGGCAGGTTTAAGGGAAAATATATTCCCTAAAAAAAAAAAAAAAAAAAACCACAAGCCAAGAAAGGTCTGGCATCGCTCATTTTATCCCAAAGGTCAAGAGCTGGAAGTTTTCTTCTCACTCTTTTGGTACTTTAAAGGCAACATATAATTTCCTTAAAAGATTTTTTGCTGTCCTGCAGAATACATTTAACAGCCTTGCTACCTGGCACAGGCTGAAATGAGAGCAGCTGCTGTAATAGAAGGTAACCTCTCTTGAAAGAGGACAGTGTAATGCTTACTGTCAGGAGGCAACATTTATTGCAATCAGTTGGTCCCAGAAGGCTAGTTACCTTATTTTTCATCTAATTTTATATGCTCATGATTGAATTACTGTAGCAGGATCTAAAGAAACATGATGCTTTGCAGACTGCTGTTAGATTATCTCCTCTAGACACGGTTGAAAAAGCAATATCTGCTTGACCAAGGTCACTCCTACTGTCATTTCCACCATAAAATATGGGTTTACACTTCTGCCTCTTCTCATAAAGCAGCACAGGCACCTCCACTGATTCCCTCTAAGATAAACAGAAATAAAATCTGGATGGAAGTGGTTTGCTATTTTATACATAAATTTAATTGAGGTTGGATTTTTCTCATCTGAAATGGGATGTAAATTTCAATTTCAATGAAATGATAAAAAACTGCAAGTTTTGGCTACAGGAAGAAATTTATTCCTGTTTCTTGAGTGGGACTCAGACACATAGGGCGCAAGTCTGAATGACATCAGCCAATAAAGCACTAAAGCCTATTTTTAGGTGATAGCTCCTTCTCTGAAGGATGAAGCCCTATCAATTACTACCCCTGTAGTCAACTGTGCAGTGTTTTAGTATTTCCACTGTGCATAGGTACACTTTGTCTCCAGTGGCTCCTTCTATCTCTCCAATGTAACCAGCCAGCACCATTAAAACTCCACTCCTAATGAGGCTGTTCATGGGGAAAGCCAGGGAAGCAGCCCTTTCTGTCACAGGATAATTGGTACTCTGACACTCAGGTGCTTTGGCTGCAGTGCCTTCACTATCATTAAAAAATCTGTGAAATCACAGGGACTTTCATTTGGACTTGTCAGAGTCCAGGACATCCCTCTGGCTGCCCTGGCTGTCTCAAGACCCTGGCAGGGGGCTCAGAGACCTTGGCAAGAAGGCAAAAACACCTGTGCCTTCAATTTTAGCCCGTGGAAAAAACTGCCAGCTTTGTGTGAGGAATTACAAGCCACAAGGGTTTGAGTAGTGTGATAGTTAACACCGGGTGAAAAAGGGGTTTTTAGAATATAGTTCAAGGGGTACAAGATGGAATTTGGCATGTCCTGGCCTTCTTTTCCTCCTTCTTGTGCTCCATGTCTTGGCATGATGGTGACACTTTTCTATTGGTTTAAGGTAGAGACACAGTGTCCAACATAGATGATAGATACTGGCACAGTATTGTAAACATAGTACACGTAGTTTTGAGTATATAATGTGGGAACCACCCAAGGCTCAAGGCAGATTGCCATGGCTTCCTTTCTGGACAGAGTTCAGCAGGTCAAAGAAAGAATGTTATAAATAAGGAAAAATAAACACCTTTGAGAACACGATCTGAAGCATTCCTGACTCCTTCTTTGGCTGCAGCAGTCTAAGGAAGCAAAGACTTTTACAATCTCAGGGTCACTCCAAAGCAAAGGAGACTCTGACATGGACACACAGAGATGGCAAGTGTCTCC